TAGACCGACAGGTTCGTCAGTTGAGATCAAAGAGTTTTCCTTCTGTTCGTGTTCAGTGGAGAGGTCAGCCTGCTGAGGCATCGACCTGGGAGTCCGAGTCCGATATGCGGAGCCGTTATCCCCGTCTTTTCCCCGACTCAGATACTTCCTTCTACTGTCCGTTCGAGGACGAACGGTTGTATTAGAGCTGGAGGATGTGATGACCTTTTGGTCATCACTTGTTTTTAAAATAAATTCTGTGTTTTGAGGCCTTAAAAACCTCTTTCAGCATTATCTCGATTTGCGTGCGCAGTCCGGGCACGTAGCCGGAAAGTCTATATGTGAAAATCTGTGAAAAATGATAAAATTTAGCTTTAATAATGAATTAAGTTGACTTCGGTCAACATTTTGGATAAATAAACCTTGACCCGTGATTTGACGGTCCCAGAGGGTCCGTAGGAAAATATGGGACTTGGGCGTATGCCCGGAATCGAATTCCGAGGTCCCAAGCCGGAGAAATGATTTTTTAAAGAAAATTGTTTTTTGAAATTATTTATGAGATTTGGAAAAGAATTGTGATTAGAAATTGATGGTATCGGGCCCGTATTTTGGTTCTGGCGCCCGGTATAGGTCTTATATGTGATTTAAGATAAGTTTGTGAAATTTGGTAAGAAACGGGCTTGAAAAAACGTATCGGATCATTTTTGAGAAAATTGGAAATTTGAAATTCTTTAGAAAATTTCATGATTTTGATGCTAAATTCATAGTTGTTGATGTTATTTTAGTGATTTGAATGCACGAGCGAGCCCGTGTGACGTTTTTAGGTTGGTGTGCATGTTTGGTTTGGAGCCCCGAGGGCTCGGGTTAGTTTTGTATCGGCCACAGGGTGGATTTTAGACTTGGAAATTTCAGGTTTTATTGCTGGTGAACAAGCTTCGCATTTGCGAAGCCTGGCTCGCAAATGCGATATCGTAATTGCGAGGGCTTGGTCGCAAATGCGAACTAGCCCAGGCCTGCCCTTCCTCGCAAATGCGAGATGTTTCCTTGCAATACCGGCCTCGCAAATGCGAGTGTCCCTTTGCAATTGTGAAGTCTGCTTGTAATGCTTGAGGCCGCAAATGCGACCTATGTGTCGCAAATGCGAAGTCGCAAATGCGACATTCCTGTTCGCGAATGCGAAAGTCCAAATTCTCTGAAGGGTTCGCAATTGCGAACCACTGTTCGCATTTCCCATATCTGCAACCTGCAACTTTTTATACTTAGCCGAAAATCAACCATTTTTCACATCTTTTCAAAATACAAACTCCCTAGGGCGATTTTTCAAGAACAAATCTTCTTCCAAATCGATTGTAAGTCACTTTTAACTCGTTTCCTTCAATCATTAACATATTTTAACATGATATCAACTCAAAATCAATGATTTTTATGGGAAAATTGGTTGTTTTGGGTAGAACCTAGGTTTTTCAAAAATTGGGGATTTGGACCTCGATTTGAGGTCCGATTTCAAACCAAATTATATATTTGGGTTCGTAGGGGAATGAGTAATCGGGTTTTGGTTCGAACCTCGGGTTTTGACCATGTGGGCCCGGGGGCGATTTTTGACTTTTTGGGTAAAACTTTGGAAAATTCATTTTTCATGCATTCGAATTGATTCATTTAGCTTTTATTGATGTAATTAAGTAACTTGTGACTAGATACGAGCGAATTGGTGGTGAAAACAAGGGGTAAAGCGATAGTTGAGACGTGAATTGTGTTTGTGACATCGAGGTAAGTGGTTGGTCTATCCTTAGCTTCAGGGATTAGGAGTCGTGTCTTATTAGCTACGTGTTAATTGTGGAGTACGACGTATAGGCATGGTGACGAGTATCTATACGTCGGTATCAAGCATGCCCGTGAGTCTTGTATTATAATTGTTATGACTCCGTTGTGGTTTATTGTGCCTCACATGTTACTATCATCATTGTTCCCTTGCCGGGACGTTTGTTTTGATATTCTTGTTCCCTTGCCGGGATGTTGTTGTATTGCTCTTGTTCCCTTGCCGGGTTTCTTTGTGGTTGTTGTTGATTTGTAACTGGGATCGGGTGGTACGCCTACCACAAGATAAATGAAATGGGAGCGGGTGACATGCCTGCCACGAGATAAATAAAATGGGAGCGGGTGACACGCCTGCCACGAGATAAATTAAATGGGAGCGGGTGGCACGCCTGCCACGAGATAAATGAAATGGAAGCGGGTGGCACACCTGCCACGAGATAAATGAAATGGGAGCGGGTGGCACGCCTGCCACGAGATAAATGAAATGGGAGCGGTTGGCACGCCTGCCACGAGATATATGAAATGGGAGCGGGTGGCACGCCTTCCACGAGATATATGAAATGGGAGCGGGTTGCACGCCTACAACGAGATATATGAAATGAGAGCGGGTTGCACGCCTACAACGAGATTCATGAAATGGAGCGAGTTGCACGCCTGCAACAAGATGTGAAATGAAAGTGAATTCTGCCTTTGTTTTCCTTATCCTTGTTAGTAGTTGGATTTTGGTTCCTTTATAATTCTCTTGATATTCTGTTTTACGTGTTATTCCCCGAAGCATGCTTTCCCCCTCCCATCTTTACTTTTTTATTTCTGCTTTACTTTCCGATGTATATTATAGAACTGCACAAGTTTATTTGGTAGTCTGGTCCTAGCCTCGTCACGACTTCTCCGAGGTTAGGCTAGGCACTTACCAGCACATGGGGTCGGTTGTGCTGATACTACACTCTGCACTCTTTTGTGCAGATCCCAGTGCTGTTGATTGAGTGGCTACCTTCAGTCCACGCAGAGATCCAAGGTAGACGTGCAGGCGTCTGCAGGCCCTGGCGTCTCCTCTATCACTTATTTCCTGTTTTAACTCTTTGATTCTGAGACAGTATATCTTTTATTTTCAGACTTTGTATTTATTACTGTTAGATCGTCTATGACACTATGACACCAGTTCTGGGTGGTTAAGGCTTAATCGGTTGTAATAGCTACATGTTCAGATATTTTATTGCTTTCTTCCGCTTATTCTAAATTTTTCGCTGTTTACACGTTATTGCTTTAGGATTGTTAAAAGGAAATAATTGGATAATGAAGTAATTAGTTCAAAGAATTGGCTTGCCTAGCTCACATTAGTAGGCGCCATCACGACTCCCGAGGGTAGAAAATCCGGATCGTGATAATTTTTAAGCACGTTTGCCTATTAATATTGTATTTAGGCTTGTCCGCCTTTAACAGGACATTTACGCATTAAATATTTATGCTTATCCGCCTTTAATTGAATTTTAAGCACGTTTGCCTTTAATATGATATTAGGCTTGTCCGCCTTTAACATGACATTTATGCATTAAATATTTAGGCTTATCCGTCTTTAATTGGATATTTAAGCACGCTTGCCTTTATGATATTTAGGCTTGTCCACCTTTAATAGGACATTTAGGCTCGTCCGCCTTTATTAGGACATTTAAGCACATTTGCCTTAATTAAATATTTAGGGTCTATCCGCCCTCAAATAGGATATATCGGGCCCATCCGCAATCAAATAGGATATATCGGGTTCATCCACCCTCAAATAGGATATATCGGGTCTATTCGCCCTTAAATAGGATATAACGGGTCTATCCGCCCTCAAATAGGATATCGGGTCCATCCGCCCTCATATAGAATATTGAAGTTATTCCTTCCTCAAAAGGATATTTAATTTATTTCGATCCAAGTGGTCATAATTGCATCTGCATTGCTGAAATATATTATCCTTCATAAATCATTGTCAAATGCATTTATCTTTATAAATTAAATTTTCATGTGCCATTGCCGACCATGAAATATGTCACCATAAAATTATATTGTTATATGTTTGCACAATAAATTCGCTTTTCTTATGAATCGATGCCTAATATTATTTTCATCAGATTAAATTAATGCCATATTGCATGTTATTTCCTAACGAACATTTTTAGCATTGTTAAGCTTTGCAGGAAATATAGCGCAACGTGGAACTATATCTTAGCAGTGAACTGGGGCAGTTTGTTGGAGTGGAATACCAAACTCTCGAACAAAGGTTAAGGATTTACTTCGTACTCCACTCGACTTGACTCTCAAAATTTCTAATCAAATCCTTATTTCAAACATCTTTTTTCAATCATGGTACCTAGTGTCTCTATAATTCGACACTGGGGCAGCATTTTAAGATCCACATCAATAGTTGAGTCCTACTCCAGGGCACCATAAATCTAGAACTACATATGGCCTGATCCTTGTGAACCCCGAGGTATGTAGGCAATTCAAAAATTAGAGTTCGGCCATAACTCTCTAAAATTTACTTTTGTTCCATAAGCTTTCCAAACTTCCTTTCATATTCCTTCCAACACTTTGATTCGCATTTATAAGTCAGGACAAAATTGGCTACCAGGTAAATTTCTTTGCCCAAAAACTCTTTCATCGTCTTCGGTCAAAGAGGGGCAGCTGTTGACATCCAATTTTGTCCCTCCTTTCTTTCAAATTACTTCTTTAATCTTCTAATATCACTAATAATATAAGGTAGTTGTTCTACTATATTTTTAATACAAACTATACCTATTTGTTATTATTAGTATTAAAAATATTCTAGTTATATCTATTATTGTTATTATAATAATTACTATTACTATTATTTCTAAAAAAATACATTTTTTCTCTTTACATAATTAATTAATAATTTTTTTGTGATGAAATTTTACTTAACAATTAGTGTAAGTTATTTCTTAAATTTAAATGCTAGCTTCCATAACTATTTTAAGTAACATTAAATAGTTTAACCAATATTATTATGTAGTATTATATAATGTGGCTAATAAAATTATTTTAAATAGAAGCTCAAAGAATGTATAAGGAAGAAGAAAATGTTCAGCAGTCCAAGCCAAAAGTCTAGCCTAAATCTGCCCACTATACTAGCCCAATCCAAAATTACCCTATTTTTGTATTCCAAAATATCTCCAATTAATTAGATTGAATACTTTACCTAAATCCCATCACTCTAAGCATTTGTCCTGAGTCCCCTTTACCGTTTCAGAAGACCTTTCCCTTCTCCTCTCTCCTCTCTCTTTATTCTCTACCAAATTTTATAAGACTCAAAATAAAGTTAAATCTGCACTTTTCACTTTTGCCTTTTTTATGCAAGAAAGCTTGGGATTCTTCGCACGCGTTTCTGATCTCCCCAGCTTTTCTTCACCCCTTTGAAAATTGGAACGGCTCTTTCACCATTTTGAAGATGCAAAAATCCCGCCCAAATCAGTCCTTGAGGAACCCTAGAATCTCTCTATAAATACTTGCAATCCATACTAGTTTAAGATCAAGCTTCAACCGCCATTCTACTCAAAAAACAGAGAAATTTTAGCTTTCTTTCTTACTTCTCCGTCTCTGTTTGTTCCTGGCAATGCTTGGCATTTTTCGGCGATTTATTGCCTTCCGGGTTAGCGAATTCAAGGCCTGAGATAGTCCCTTGAAGACGCCCCAGTTCACTGCACCGCAAAAGGTCAGTTTCCTTCTAAATTTTAATCTTTCAATATTTTGTTTTAGATGTAAAATGTGTCATTTTGTTCCAGTAGAAATCATGTGAGATTTCCCCTTTATTTGGCTATAGAAAATATTGTCTTTGATAATGTTAATATAACAGAGTGGTGCGCATAGAGTTTTGCTTTTCGTATTCATCTGTTGCTTGCTTGATCAAACAAGTGTAGCTTTTGGATCTGATTTTCTTTTAGGTTTCTATGCTAGCAATATGGTTAAATGTAGCTGAAATATCTAAGTAAGAATAGTGTATGAACGTGTGTTGAATGAACCTTTTTAGATAATGCATTGTTAGACTTAAGAGGACACAAATATAATTATCCAATTCAACATAGTAGAACCCATGATTAAATATCTGTAAGTGTAAGTTTGCTATGATGGTCGCTCAAGCATGTAAATAAAGAAAGTAGTAAGATCAAAATCCATGACCTTGAAATAATCAGTTAGGCTGAATGGATTACTTATGAATCTACACTAGTGACCGAAAGAAAATAATAGGAGTGCAAAATCTGGTGGTTGCCTTCTTAGAAAGAACAGTCTCGGATCTATATTCACATAACTATTTGAACTCTATTAGTTAAAATTATGATAGAAGAACTTTGTATTTCGATGAACCAGTAAATAGGTATAGCAAAGTTAAATCATAGTTTGTTTTGCATTTCATGACCCTATATTAACCAATAAAGGGTTTATTTTAATTAAAAGAAAGTGGGAAGATCAAAATCCATGACCTTGAAATCTTGTGGAATTAAAATGTGTCCTTTACATGACCCTATGAGTGCTAAATGTTTGGCATGTCGTACATTCTAGTTGAACCTTGACTTGAATATGAACCCTATGCTTGAATGTGTCGAGGGCAGCGCCATGACTCATGTTTTCTGTTACAACGAATTATTCCATAAATTTTGTTGCAACTTGTCTAATATAACTGGTGCTGGAAGGACTGGTTCCGTTTTGTTTAGCCGGAGACTTTCTATTTCCTTCCATGTTATAAGTACATAAAAAAACTTATCTAATTATTGAGAATAAGCATTGATATTCTGTAGTTTTTTCCTTCATGACTTACATACCATGACAATAGCATTAATAATGCTCGTAGTGAAATAGACTATAGCTAGAAGCATGTGCTGCTATGAAACTTTGATGTATGCTCTCATATTCTCTTTTAGGTGTTAGCACTTATTTTCTAAAGATCTGAAAAAAACCTTATAGGAGTATAAAAAATATATCTATAAGTCTTAATATTACTAGTGTTTGTTCCCAGATTTTCTGGAACGTGGTAACTAAAGTCAAAGGCTTAATATATTGAACACTTTTGTGATTTGGTATATTGTGAGAGTACCTGGGAAGAGTCTTTAAGTAAGAATAAATGAGGTGTTAAGATTATAGCTTATTTAAATAATTTAAATGCCGATATGATTGCTGATTGCTTTGTTTCTGCTTATTTTTTAATGTTGACCTTCTCTGCAGCACTTCTAGAAATTGACCTCTTTAATTCTAATTCTTGTTTTGTTCTCTATTTTTGCATATGCAGATGGAGCGACATGGAGTCTTTGCCCATATCCACACACAGAGTCAACATATCCCCTACTCTTAGAATGCACCGGATAGCAAGAAAAATACGTTAAACGTTTGGGGACGTCTATGACTTCCTTTTTCTTCCTTTTCTTTCCTTCTCATCATTCGTTATATTTTACCTTGTATGAGTGTTGATCTATTTGTACGCTTTGGGATTGTTCGTTAAAGCTCATTTTTAACATATGAACTGGTAGCTATTTGTTTAAGGATTGTGTTGTAGTTGATGGATAACACATTTTCTTAAGATCTAGACGTGAAGACTTTAAATTCAATAGCTACCTAGTAATTCTGATGATATTTATAAGAATTTAGGATAATCCGTCTAAAAATCTAACTTCTTACTTGTGAAGTATTTTGAGAATTGAAGTTTGCCAATATCTCAAAAATTCTTTTTTCTTTTGCTAGGTCGAAACATTTGAGGCTGAGATCGAGCTTTGGTCCAAAAAGAAGAAAATTAATAAATATATCTCTTCAGAAACTAAGTTTCTTAAACTTCAGTTTCAAAACGATTTTCCTTAAAATCAAGTTTTATGAATAGCCAAACAAATAGATATTTCTAATGTGAATCAGTAGTATTTTTTAGCTTTTATCCATCATAGCCTAATTTACTTTTTAATTGCTCAATTCTTTAAAGGTTTGAATTACTAAGTCCAAGTCCCGGGTTCTCTGACAATATTAATCTAGTTAATCAATTAGTGATGATATTCTACGTATTTACTTACCTCATATTAATTAACCTAAATTTGGTCGGGTAACCATAATTAGCGGATTATATAGGGTACCTTAATAACTTTCCCTATAAATTAATTAGAACCGTTAACTAGAATTCTTATGGTTAAGTAGGCCATAAAACAGAGTTAACTTTAAGCATTATTTAGCTAAAATTGGTGTCCTAATTCATCGTTAAAATAATTAGGTGGCGACTCTTACTATTAATTAAACCTCAATTTTCTCCAATAGGTTATACTCTAATTTCGACCCGTGTTAAAATGTGGTATAACATATACCACATACCTCATATCCAGGATGGACCCTCTGAAGTACATATTTCAGAAACTCATGCCGACTAGGAAGTCGGCCAAGTGGCAGATACTGTTGAGTGAGTTCGATATCGTCTACGTAACTCAAAAGGCGGTCAAAGGACAAGCATTGGCAAATTATCTTGCTGAGAATCCGATGGGAGGAGAATACGAACCCTTGAAAACGTATTTTCCTGATGAAGAGGTGTCATTTGTAGGAGAGGACATTACCGAAGCATAAAACGGTTGGAGGATGTTCTTTGACGGAGCTGCAAATTTCAAAGGAGTAGGCACTGGAGCAGTTTTGGTATCAAAAACGGGTCAACATTATCCGGTATCTCTAAATTGAGATTTCCCTCCACCAACAACATGGCAGAGTATGAAGCCTGCATACTACGACTCAACATGGCAATCGACATAAATATTCAGGAGCTCCTGGTAATTGGTGATTCAGATTTACTTGTGCACCAGGTACAAGGAGAGTGGGTCACCAAGAATTCCAAAATATTGTCATATCTGCACCATGTGCAGGAATTGAGAAAGAGGTTCACAAAGATAGAGTTCTGACATGTGCCCAGAATTCAGAATGAGTATGCCGATGCATTGGCCACTTTATCATCCATGATACAACATCCAGATAAGAATTTCATTGATCCCATCCCAGTAAGAATCCATAATCATCCAGCGTATTATGCTCATGTTGAAGAAGAAACAGATGGAAAACCTTAGTTCCATGACATCAAGGAGTATTTGGCGAAAGGAGAATATCCGGAGCATGCAAACCATACTCAGAAACGCACACTCTGGAGATTGTCCAATCACTTCTTCCACAGCGGAGGAAATTTGTATAGGAGAACTCCTGATTTAGGACTGCTAAGATGTGTCGACGCAAAAGAGGCATCTAAGTTACTTGAGGAGATACATGCTGGGACCTGCGGCCTACATATGAATGGTTTTGTCTTAGTCAAGAAGATACTCAGGGCCGGTTACTTTTGGATGACCATGGAGACAGACTGCATCCAGTATGTCCGCAAATGCTATCAATTCCAAGTGCATGCCGATACGATAAAAGTGCCGCCAAACGAGCTCAATGCCACAAGCACACTTGGCCATTCGCCGCCTGGGGAATGGATGTCATCGGTCTGATCGAGCCCACTGCTTCGAATAGGCACAGGTTTATTCTGGTAGCCATTGATTACTTCACAAAAATGGGTAGAGGCTGCATCTTACAAAGCTATAACCAAGAAAGGCGTCACAGATTTTGTCAAAGATCGTATTGTTTGCCGATTCGGAGTTCCCGAGTCCATTGTTACTGATAATGCCGCCAATCTCAACAGTGATCTGATGAAAGCCATGTGTGAAACTTTAAAAATCAAGAACCAAAATTCCACAGCCTATAGACCTCAGATGAATGGAACCGTAGAAGCCGCCAACAAAAATTGTCTAGAAGATACTAAGGAAGATGGTAGAAAACCACAAACAATGGCACGAGAAGCTTCCTCTTGCTCTGTTGGGGTACCGCACTACAGTTCACACATCAACTGGAGCAACTCCCTACATGCTGGTTTATGGTACCGAGGCTGTCATCCCAGCCGAGGTAGAGAATCCTTCTTTAAGAATCATACAGGAAGCTGAACTCAGCGATGCAGAATGGATAAGGAGCCGCTGTGAACAATTGGCCCTCATAGATGGAAAAAGGATGAACGCAATATGTAAAGGTTAGCTTTACCAGAACAGAATGTCTAGAGCTTTCAACAAAAGGTTCAAACTATGACAATTCGCACCGGAGCAGCTGGTGCTTAAGCGAATCTTCCCACATCAGGATGAAGGCAAAGGGAAATTTTCACCCAACTGGTAGGGTCCCTACATGGTTCACAGGGTACTAACAGGAGGAGCACTCATACTTGCAGAAATGGAAGGAGAAATCTAGCCAAAACCAATCAATTCAGACGTAGTCAAGAGATACTATGCTTAGACTATTTACATTTCCTTATCTGATGTAATTTGACTACGCTTGACCTGATTCCCAGTTAAGAGGGGATACGTAGGCATCCTTATGGGTTCGGTAATATCATAATAAAATTTTCATTTTCCCCATGATCGGAAACTAGGGTAGAATTTTGAGGAGGACCCTCAAAATTCCGGAGCAAGTCCAGCCAACGCCAACATATGTCAGACGTTCAGAAACCGGTTAAGAAACTGGGGCAGAATTTTGAGAAGGATTCTCCAAATTCCGAAGAAGGTTAAACAAGGCTCATTACCCGCAAACGGCCGAAGGGTCATCTACCAAACTGGGGTAGAATTTTGAGGAGGACCCTCAAAATTCTAACATGAGAAAGCTGCAGTGTCTCTGAAATGTGTTACGGTCACTATCTCATCTAAAATTACTTGATATTTCAACATGTTTCATCTATTTTTATCAATAATTGCATATTTTCGAAAACTCTATTTTCGTAGCAGCCAGGTGTTCCAAGGAAACTCGAAAAAGGCCTCCAGAACGGAGCAAAGCAAGGCCAGCGAACAGAAGCACGAACCAACCTCCCCTCACAAAACTTACAATTTGCCTTTGAACACAAGCACATCCGACGTAGCGATACCATTCGTGAACACGAATACACAAAGCAAAATCAGGGGCCATTGGACACCGAATATATCTCCAGCTAAGAAATACACTACTCTTATTTGCTACTCGATTAAACCTGTCTCGCATATCTGCATGAGGCTAATCCTTGCCTCCATATTTGCATGAGGCTAATCCCTGCCTCCATATTTGCATGAGGCTAGTACTTGCCTCCATATCTGCATGAGGCTAATCCGTCCCTCCATGATTTGCATGAGGCTAATCCTTGCCTCCGTATCTGCATGAGGCTAATCCTTGCCTCCATAATTGCATGAGGTTAATCCCTGCCTCTATGACCTGCATGAGGCTAATCCTTGCCTCCCATATTTGCACGAGGCTAATCCCTACCTCCATATTTGCATGAGGTTAATCCCTGCCTCCCTAATTGCATAAGGCTAATCCTAGCCTCCATATTTGCATGAGGCTAATCCTTGCCTCCATATCTGCATGAGGCTAATCCCTGCCTCCATATCTGCATGAGGCTAATCCCTGCCTCCATATTTGCATGAGGCTAATCCATGCCTCCATACTTGCATGAGGCTAATCCTGGCTCCCAAATTTCATGAGGCTAATCCCGGCCTCCCTAATTGCATGAGGCTAATCCCTGCCTCCATATTTGCATGAGGATAATCCCTGCCTCTATATTTGCATGAGGCTAATCCCTGCCTCCCTAATTGCATGAGGCTAATCCCTGCCTCTCTAATTGCATGAAGCTAATTCCTGCCTCCATATTTGCATGAGACTAATCCCTGCCTCCCTAATTGAATGAGGCTAATCCCTGCCTCGTATTTGCACGAGGCTAATCCTTGCCTCCATATCTGAATGAGCCTAATCCTTGCCTCCATATTTGCCTGAGGCTAATCCCTGCCACCGTATTTGCACGAGGCTAATCCTTGCCTCCATATCTACACGAGGCTAATCCTTGCCTCCATACTTGCATGAGGCTAATCCTTGCCTCCATACTTGCATGAGGCTAATCCCTGCCTCCATAATTGCATGAGGCTAATCCCACCCTCCATACTTGCATGAGGCTAATCCCTGCCTCCATATTTGCATGAGGCTAATCCCTGCCTCCATAATTGCATGAAGCTAATCCCTGCCTCCATAATTGCACGAGGCTAATCCCTGCCTCCACATTTGCATGGGACTAAGAATTGTCCCTCCTTACATAAATATCGATCTATTCCGGTACTATCTATTCTTTTTTCGATTGGGCTTAGCGCTGCCCTTCATTTCACAAGACTAAGCCTTGTCTTGTTAACATCATACTATTGCATCTCATGGGCTGAAATATCGCCAATCTGTCCAAAGGCGTCATAGTCTAAAGTCATCATCCCCATAGCCGGAAGACACCATGCCATGGCCTGAGGATCTCTCAAATTTGCATATCATTATTCAAAGGCATCATGGTTCGGAGGCACCATCCTCATAGCCCGAGAACATCATCTCATGGCCTGCGAATCCCTTACTAAACAACTCATGGCCCAGGACATCATGGTCTAAGGACATTATCTTCATCGTCCGAAGACAACTTTCATGGTCTAAAGGGAATCTGCACCATGTTTAAATTTTCGCACAAATAGATGTTTGTAGCATTTCTTTATCTGCAGGTGACCAGTAAGCAACCGCTATC